ACTGCATCACTTGTTGAGAGAGTAGATCTTTAATAAAAATGTATTCGTTCTTAGTTCTTGATTGGTTAGCCAAAAGAATAGGAACATAAAGCCTTACATGATGTTGGAGTACACTATTGTTTGGCACTTATTGCAGGACATACTTATATACTAGGACGGTCTAGCATCCATTTTAACTGTTCATCAGCTCAAAGGTGTCTGCCAAGATACCTAGATTTCAGATATAAGCGAAAACTTAATTTGCATTTTCTCGCAAACTTTCACTTTTAATTATATAATTACATACAAGTACTAACGTCGTTTGAGCATTATAAAATTTTTAGAGGTTGGTTGACCTCGTCGCATCTTGGTCTTGTTGCCATGGCGACTTAGTAGAACGCATCTTGTGTAAAGTCCTCTGCCATAGTAGTTATCATAATTCCCAGCACCAGGCCGTGAACTTGGTACATTCTCAGACGCTTTACCGGCATCGCAGTCAGCATCATTGGTGAGTGTTGCCATTCTACGAACCGAGCTACGAACTCGTCAAAGCGACAAGTGAAGTCAATCCCTCGATCAACGTTCTGCCGAAAACGGTTACACTATCAGTCAAATTTTTGTCCTGGACCATCTATTTACTCTTCATTCTCTTATCCGATTCCCGCCCTATCACAACTTCTGACTTGTTTACATTCACTCGTCAAAATGTGCCCTTTTTTGGTAAATTTAGTGTGGCTTCATCACACCTGCTATTCACCCCGAACCATTCTCTTTCGATCGGCTAATACGACTCGGGCCTCCTATCCGGATCTCCCTCATGGTCCCATAAATCCATTCCTTATCTCTCTTGTTGACCGATTCCACTCGGCTCCGGTCCCAGGGTGCGTTTTACTCCGCGCGATATTTCTCAAGTCCCTAGAAGCACGTCTGCCTCACCGAGCGGAGCGCCTAGGCTCTGATTCCCATGCTTGCAGATATTAGGCATTGCCTTCATGAGTCGTCTCCTTGGTTAAACTCTGTTACCTGAGCAAACTGTGGACGTCTATATCTGGTCACATGCAGCATCTCAAGTGGATTTCTAGTACATTTTGGCAATAACGCCGAATTTCTGACGCTTTGCTTGTCAGTCTGCTTGGCTCCCTGACCAATATTCAGGAAATTGAATATTCGGGCGGCCGTGAAAGAAAAAACAACACTTACAATTCTACCGACGCAACATGAAAAGGTAGACAAAATGGATTATTAAGGAGTTTACTGTATATCATTCGGCACTTCCGAACAGAAATATATTGGCGAAACAGGGATACAAGTTAGCATACGTATCAAGGAACGTCAAAGGCTCTACGGGTAAATGGATACCGAAAGATCAGAATAAGCGGAACACATCGCACAGATCGAGCACGAGATCAATTTGAGGGCAACAGAAAGAAGGACCTAATACAGTGAAAACAGAAGGAAACAGAAGATGTAGGAGGCCATTGACATCCATAGGGAGAAAAATCTAATAAACAAGAGATTGGAAGAAGGCAGAGTTAGCGATAACTTTGCATACTGATTAAAGAAACTGGAGTGAGACAAGAATACAACAAGACCAGCCAAAAGGAGACGCCTGGATCAGGAATCTATCGCGAACAGGAGGAAAAGGGATCGCGAGAATAAAAAGAGGGGCGGGGATTGTCTGCAACCAAGCGAAGACTGTCAGTGAGCGATGTCTGTTCGAATAAACCAGTACAACTTTGGGGGTCTGGCAATCAGGGAGCCAGGCAGACTGACAAGCAAAGCGTCACAGAAATTCGGCGTTATTGCCAAAATGTACTAGAAATCCACCTGAGATGCCGCTTGCAACCAGAGGTAGGCATCCACTATTTGCTCAGGTAACACGGGTTTAATCAAAGAGAGGATATGTGACGGATTAGTCGATCGAAAGAGAAGGGTTCGGGGAGAATAGCAGGTGTGATGAGGCCAAAGTAAATTTACCAAAAAAGGCACATTTTGACGAATTAATGTAAACAAGTCAGAAGTTGTGATAGGGCGGGAATTGGATAAGAGAATGAAGAGTAGATAGATGGACCAGGACAGAAATGGGAGTAATAGTGTAACCGTTTTCGGCAGAACGTTAATCGAGGGATTGACTTCACTTGTCGCTTTGACGAGTTCGTAGCTCGGTTCGTAGAATGGTAACACTCACCGATGATGCTGACTGCACTGCCGGCGAAGCGTCTGAGAATGTATTAAGTTCACGGCCTGATGCTGGGAATTATGATAACTACTATGGCAGAGGACTATGTCGCCCTGACAACAATAACCAGATGCGACAACGAGGTCAACCCACTTATATAAATCGAAAGGATACTGCGACCATACCGGGGCCACCCAATCTTGCTTTTCATATCTTTGATTATAAAATGTTGATATCATTTTCTTTAATATCTACTTATACATACAAAAAATTTATATTCACAAACTTGGATTACACTCTTTCAGGTGAGTGAGGACGAGGCTGTTCGACGGGCAAAGCGTCGAGAGAGGAATCGCGTTGCAGCAGCTCGATGTCGTCAGCGTCGGCAGGATCAGATCGAAGGACTCCAGGAGCGAGTGAATGCATTAACACGAGATGGCGATGAAATGAGGAGCCGCTTACACAGCCTAGATCTTGAGAAGGCTAGACTCTCCGAGCTAGTGAAGGAACACAGTGTAAGCGAAGAAGAATGTGTAATGTGAGACAGAAAGACAGCTTTCATAGTTATCTGCATAAAAACGGATCTTTTATCGTCACATGTATGATGGTATTGTCTGAATGGATGGAGATATCATTAAATTGATGCATATGTGACATGCGTATGTGTGACATGCATAGTATGGAAGTTTGAAAACACTGATCGCGTATGTAAATGCCACATTGAGTGATTGTCTGGTGTTACTAGGACAGCTCTGGTGTTATAGCATGAAATCCCGCAAAGAAGCCAGTTATCTCACCTTCCGGATATCGTTTTATTTGCTTGAATTCGTACTTGTGTTAGCGTATATCCTCTATCTTCTGTGATCAGATATATTTACTTTCCCATGAGTCTGTTTCCATTACTTAATTTTTGCGCTCGTTTTATGTTTTTATCTTAAAGGGGAATTATTAAGCTATTTTTGAACATTTCCCTTGTACACAACGGTGCTATGATTACCCCTGGGCGATCAGCCCTCTTATTTGTCGTGTGTGAATGTAATATTGGGTGATATAGAGCTGAAAACAAGTGCTAGGCATGTACTAATTTTTCTATTTTGTGAATGAATGTGAGTCGCATCGAATTCGATAATGCTATTTCTAATTTTGCAGTCAACGCAGGCACTTACTACGACAAATATATGGAAAAATAGGGACAGAAGAGAAATTTGAAAAAAATATTTACACTGATGCCTCTACGACCAGCAGGGAGATTGAAATTGTTGTTCTGTTGTCGGATAATTTCGCTTTATCCCTCCACCCACTTGACAAGAATTTTTCATATATTAACTTATACGAACTGTGTTCAGCCTCTTTCGTGATGAGGGACTGGTAGTTGAATTTCCCCACAATGATGAATAGACATGGCGATTCCATTGAATTTGACATAGCATTGCTTCCCAAAAAGCTTTTCTCATCCAGGGTGGACTGCAGTTTCTACCTCGACTCGAACCATGAAATTGCAGCTTATAATCTCGACACATTAATCACTAGTCTCGCTGGGGGTGTTGATAAGGCCTATGTGAAGTCGAAACTGCAATCTACTCTAGATGAGAATATCTTTTGGGAAGGAAGGCCATTCGAAATTCAATGAAAGCGCATGTTTACTCACAGCATTGTGGGAAAATTCAACTATCATTCACTTTAAACAAATTAGGGTGAACACAGTTCATACATCTGACTTACTAGTAGTCTCGAAAACCTACTCAAAACGAAAAATAATTAATGTTGTAGATTATTATAGCAACTATATGTTTGCTTCATCGACAATCCCACCTGGACTTCCTTGAAATCTACATCTGCCCGGTGACCCAAGGGCACTCATGGCAATGCGGCGTAGTGGTTAACTTGGGGAGATTATACT